TCTTTTTGCTTATGTGGTGCTGAGGAATCGAACCCAGGGCCTTGAGCATGCAAGGCAAGCGCTCTACCACTGAGCCACCTTCCCAGCCCCCAAAAACTGTTTTTGAAAACAATGTAAAGTAGCCAATTGCCTCCTATTTTTAGGAAATCTTAATTTTAAATTCATTTATTTTTATTGTAGACTGCTGTACTGGGGCTTGAATTCAGGGCCTCATGCTTGCTAGTCTGGTGCTCTACCACTTGAGCCATGCCTCCAATTACAATATATACTTCTTTTGATAATACTTCATATAAACCTTAGACATGTAGTGGTATATTCAATGCATATTGAATATAAAAGAGTGCAATTGTAGAAAACATTTTTATTAATTTGCTCACTTTATTTGGTAGACTATAAACTTTAATTCATAATGGTTCCTGCAGCAGCAGCAGAGAATAAACCCACATTCCCAAGATATCTAAGCAGGTATAACCCATACTTGCCACTTATTAAAATAGAAATTTCAAGAAGATAAACCCATATACACTGACAGACTGACAGCTTTAAATTTTCAGACTTATAGCTTTAAAATATTGCGTGCTCGGACTGGGAAGTTGGCTCAGTGGTAGAGCGCTTGCCTTGCATGCCTGAGGCCCTGGGTTCAATTCCTCAGCACCACATAAGCAAAAAGAAAAAAGCCGAGTGGCGCTGTGGCTCAAGTGGTAGAGCACTAGCCTTGAGCTGAAGGGCTGAGGGACAGTGCTCAGGCCCAGAGTTCAGGCCCCACGACCGGACCAAAAAAAAAAATATGGCGTGCTCATTTACCTATGACATTGTAAATCTGTGTGGTACTGGGGTTTGAACTTAGAGCCTTGCTCTTGCTAAGCTAACCACGCTCTAACCCTTTTTTAAGCTTGTTATTTTTGAGATAGGTATTGCTGCCTGTCCACGCACATACATCTACATCTGTCTGTTTTAGCTGGGATGACATATGCATGCCACCAGGCCCAGTTTCTTTCCATTTAGATGAAGTCTTGAATAGATTTCTGCTTGTACTGTCCTATAACTTGATCCCCTCCTTCTCATAGTAAAGATTATATGTGTGAGCCAGCAGTGTCCCATTTGCTGTAGGGGTTTTTCTAGAGCTTAGCAGCATGATTTTCAAATGATTGTTCTGGCAGACTGCACAGAAAGCAGAATGGTCCTGTCATCATGCAGGGCTGACCATTTATCCTTGAGTATATCCTGGTATTGTTACCTTAGATATCCACATAGGGATGGTAGCAAGGTGTGGGGAACTTCACTATGGGGACATTGTAAAGGTAACCATTGGAGAACTCCAGGAAGAGCTTGTATGTCAGGCCTTCGTTTACTGTACAGCTGCTCCATGAGTAGACCCTACCCATTTGAAAAGGTTAGCTAGTTCAGTGCAGGCAGAAATTCCTTTGCAACCAGACATCATGAGAGTCATGTGCTCCAGCTGTTAGCCTCTTGCCAACAAGACCCTGGATAGCTTCCCCTATTCAGCTCAGTCGCCTTCGAGGGCACCTAGGTCACAATTTGAGTCAGCCATCTAGGTAGGCTTGGAAGGAAAACTGCAGCTGTCCAGCACTTGAGGAGGGGGTTTTGTTTATTTTATTTCATTTTTTTTGTCAGTCATGGAGCTTGAACTCTAGACCTAGGCGCTGTTCCTCAGCTCTTCAGCTCAAGGATAGTACTCTGAAGAGGGGAAAGTATTCTACCATTGACCTACCTTCCCAGCCCTAGCACTTCGGTTTTTAAGACATCTTTCTAGGTAGCTCAGACTAGCCTTGAACTCATTGTGTACCTTAGGTTGGCCTCCAACCTAAAGTGTACCACCATACCTGGCAACTTACCACTTTAACCATTGTTCTATATAGTTGTTTTTTTTTTTTTGTCGGTCGTGGGGCTTGAACTCTGGGCCTGGGCATTGTCCCTCAGCTCTTCAAGTCAAGGCGAGCACTCTACCACTTGAGCTACAGCGCCACTTCCCACTTTAACCATTGTTAAGCCTACCAACTCCCTACTCCGTCCTATCCTCACCTCAGCTCCTGGCAGCCACCATGTTACTTCCTGCCAGTATAAAAAGGTACCTTGCTACTCAGGGGGTTGAGATCTGAGAATTGTGGTTCAAAGCCAGCCCAGGTAGGAAAGTACTTGAGGCCCTTACCTCCAATTAATCACCAAAAAAAAAAAAAAAACTAATGGAGCTGTGGCTCAAATGATAGAGCGAGACTAACCTTGAGCTAAAAATGTAGCTCAGGAACAGCCAGGCCCCAGTGGCTCATGCCTGTAATCCTAGCTATTCAGGAGGTTGAGATCTGAGGATCATGGTTCAAAGCCAGCCTGGGCTGGAAACTCCGGGAGACTCTTATTTCCAATAAACCGCTCAGAAAACCAGGAGTGGCGCTATGGCTCAAGCGGTAGAGTGCTTGCCTTGAGTTGAAGAGCACAGGGATAGCGCCCAAGCCCAGAATTCAAGCCCCACGACTGTCAAAAAAAAAGGGTCTCATAATATTTGTCCTTTTATAAGTGGTTTATTCCATTTAGCATAATACCTTCAAGTTGAGTAATATTCCATTCATCTATTAGTGGGCACTTAGGATATATCCTCCTCTTGGTTATAATGTCCAAATTATCTGCTTTTACTCTTTTTGTGGTATATACCAGAATCAGCTAAATTTTAAATTTATTTTCTAATTAATGGAGAGCTTTCATATATAACTTTTAAGTCTATGCTGAAAATTCATTTAAGAGTTTAGCTATCAACAGAATATTCCATTAACTTCACAGGGTACCAGCCGTCCTTCCCACTACCATGTTTTATGGGATGATAACTGCTTTACTGCAGATGAACTTCAGCTGCTCACTTACCAGCTCTGTCACACCTATGTTCGCTGTACACGATCTGTTTCCATACCTGCACCAGCGTATTATGCTCACTTGGTGGCATTCAGAGCCAGATATCATCTCGTGGACAAAGAACATGACAGGTAATATGAAAGCATAACAATACCAATTCTTAGCCAACTTCAAATGTGCTCTGATTTTCTCAGGAAATTTCCTTAAGCACTTCCACATTAAAGTTAAATTATTGGAGGAATTAGTGCATCATATAAAAAGTGATTAGAGCTGACTGCCAGAGTTATGATGCTTTATTCAAATATGCTGGGTAATAATGAAGTTTTATTAAAAAAAAAATACCACTTACAGGAAAATGGATAGAACTGGGAATTACCATGGTAAGTAAAATAAGCCAGACCCAGACATATATCACCATGTTTTTCTTTATATGATGAATATAGGAAATAAAAATTAAGACCTGAAGCCAGGCGTTGGTGGCTCCTGTCTATAATCCTAGTTACTCCAGAGGCTGAGATCTGAGGATTATGGTTCAAAGCCAGCCCTGACAGAAAAGTCCCAAGACACTATAATCTCCAATTAGCCACCAAAAAATCTGGAAATGGACCTGTGGTTCAAGTGGTAGTGCTAACCTTGAGCAGAAAAGCTCAGGGACAGTGCCTCCAGGCCTGAGTTCAAGCCCTAGTACTGGCACCCAAATTAAAAAAAAACAAAAACAGATAGATAGATAGATAGGTGTTAAATTCTGAATTTTTTTTTTTGTGCCTGTATAGAGACGAACTCAGGACCATGCTCTTGCTCAGCTTTTTCTCTCACAGCTGGCACACTTCCACTTGAGCCGTGCCTCCAGTTGTAACTTTTTGCTAGGTAATTGGACATAAGAGATTCCTGAGTAGCTAGGATTACAGATATGAGCCACCAGTGCTCCAGCTTGAGTTAGTTATTGAAGCTATGTGATAGACACATACTTCATTATACTGGTTTGAATTTTCTAATTTTTTAAAATTTCTACAATACATAACAGTTTTCAGAATCTTTGCATCAGAATAAATTTGTTTATTGCTACTTTTCTTACAGTGCTGAAGGAAGCCACGTTTCAGGACAGAGTAATGGGCGAGATCCACAAGCTCTTGCCAAGGCTGTACAGATTCACCAAGATACCTTACGCACAATGTACTTTGCTTAACCTAAGTCCAAGTGTGTCTGGGAAGAAGCACTGAAAGATGAGTCATTGTACAGCCTACGTTGCCAGTGAGGTTGGTTCAGTAGGGATGCCTCTAACTGTGTAGTGGCCACCACCGTGGGAGGTCTGGTCCTTCTATTGGTCCAAGGAAGATTGTTTACTTCATTGAGGAACGCGGCACATATTTATGCAATATGAACCCAGCCAGCTGCTTTATTGTGCAGTCTCCTGTAGGAAGTATTGCAATTGTTTCATTTTCACTTCTGATAGTCTAACCCTTTTAATGCCTTTACCTCATGTTGCTTGGCAGCACAACTACCTTTGCAAAAAAAAAAAAAAAAAAGGAAAGAGAAGTTTAAAAAACACATACATGAATGAATAACCAGAGTAATTGTTGACTATTATATGTGTGCAAAAAAAGTGCACTCATATATTATAAAAGGAGTCTGTAGTTTTAAATGTGTACATGCATACTTCATATGCATACATATCTGGAACTAGACTCATGACCTACATGTGTATCTGTGTATATATTTTATGATTCATTCCAGTGGGGAATTTCATTTCTGTTTTATTTTCCCTCCACTACCACTTATATCTCTCTCTATCGCCTTCCTCATCTACATTTTTTCCCTTCATGCTACTGTGACATTCAAGTGTTTTATACACATAGTTTGTTTGAATGTGATGCACAGCGAACTAGACTAGTGTTTTGAGATTGCACACCTTGTCTCCTGTCTCAGTCCTCAGCTCTGTCTTATGTGAGTGTGTCTGCTCTTTCCTGCTGTGGACTTATATTTCCATGTGTGCAATGTGTACATAAGCAGTAGCAATCTAAATTATTATTTTCTTTAGTGAATTTGTTAAAGCTGCTATAAATATAAAACCTTGTCAGAAGTTGTAACTCAGAGCCGGGCGCTGGTGGCTCACACCTGTAATCCTAGCTACTCAGGAGGCTGAGATCTGAGGATCGCGGTTCAAAGCCAGCCCGGGCAGGAGAG